GGTTGTCACAAATTTGTTCGCATTTAACAAATAATTTTACGACATAACGCGATTTACGTGCCCGTGAGCGAGACGCACGCTCGGCAAACCCTGCTTGATAGGACGCAAGTTGAACACGAGACAATAGCATGCCAACGTGGTTATTATTATTACATTTATGGAAGTATCAATTCCACCCGAATATTTATTCTTATAAAGTATGACAGCGTGTAATGGAATGGGTGCATAGAATCCGTGAAATAGGCCGAGTTCCCCAAGGAATATTGGTCGAATTCTGAAAATAGGTACCTATTTTGTAACTTTTCTTTTTTTTTTGATGGATGATAATGGAAAGGTAACCCGACCTTCAGTATTAGTATAAGCTGATGGAACACCAGTGGGCGGTAATAGTTAACGATAAAAGCAGTTTAGTTGGCCCATCGTGATGAATTCATTAAGGATTATACACAATGGTTTCCAGGAGGGACTACATGAAGATCGACTTGACATTGATTACTAGAAATGGGGCTACTAGTCCGCGTTACTAATAATCTCTCCTGCCTAACCTAACACATTAAATTTTAATCATTTTTTTTAAGTCAGGTTAATTAAAAATATTAGCATACAACTAGGCAAATATATATTTTACCTATGTAAGTATAATGTTCAATTAATTAACATTTGCATGTAACTACATTTCAATAACGGGCTATAATTATGTCATGTCGGTTATCAATTAACGTATTTCTATTATTAGCACTTAAATCACCATGTAATTTTGCACAGTAGTAGTAGTGCAGAGTAATCCATTTATGGATTACTTGCTATTTCGTGCGGCTTTACAAATGTAGTGTTGTGTTATATAATTATATATACATATATTTATATAATTATAACACAATATTTAAAGATAATTACTAATAAAAATGTATGAACAGTGCATGGTTGTAATGACCTATGGAATGGACATCTAGATTTTACAACAAAACTTGTACAGAAGCTCCAAATTTTTTATAAATCGGATGGAACATGTTATGTTGGGTATCTCGCTCATTAACCACATCCAAAACATTCAAAAAAGCACGTAACTCAAAAGCATCGTTCTAGTAGTAACCAAGTTGAAATGGAGATGAACACATGAGTAGACGTAATAATGACAGTTAAACGCACAAGATCGCAGAGTGGAAAAAAATCAAGAACTATCCTAAAGAAAGTGGGGAGATTACCTATGAGTTGGACTGATGATCTAACAAGAACAATGGGCAAAACCTAGATGCGTATAGCGAAGGATCGGGTAATTTGGCGGAGACATGAAGAGGCCTATACCCAACAATGGGTGAACCCGGATTAAAATAAATAGGTAGTCTAATGAAGTAAATAGTCATAAAGTATCAAGTCTATAATTATTAAGCTTACACGTTTCTACTTACAATATAATTTGCGTTTTCGTAGTTACTATATTCAAGTGTATTGAAATTTTACAAGAAGTGTACCGCAAAACTCGTATGTCAAACGATTTCTCACAGATTTGGTTGCAAAGCCACTTAAACATATTGGTATGCGTGGCTTGTCTTTCTGCGCACCATCTTATAGGATCCACTGAAATCCAATCCAATGTACGAAGATTTTTCTTAGCTCGATATTTAAAAAAATAAAATAAGAAAGTGAACTTTACTTTTATATTATAAAAAAGTATAAAAACATTTTATAAAGGACACCCAGTAAAGCCCGGTCTACTCTCAGTGTAACTTTTACTAAGGCTAAAACCTTGCGGGATTGTTTCCTTGTTCTCAACATATACTTTTTGTTACAATACTTAAAGCCAGTTTTCAAAATATAAACCAATATGTAAAATATGTATACATAATAGCAATTTTTTTTTCTAAGTAAAGAAAAAATAGGAAGAGATTCTCAATATGTCTGATTATTATTTTTTCTTTATTTTATTAAACATTTAAGTTGCCAATCCCGATTTGATTTTCATAGATAGTAATGGATAGATATTACTCCTATGTTTATTAAATCAACGTGAATAATTTTGCAATGATTGATATTTTTTGTTTTTTATTACTGCGTAGCAAAGCATCGCTTGTTGCGGTGATAGATAATTGCAAGATACGATTTCGCCTTAGATCATACAGATCCTCGAATCTCAATAAGGGGTAAACATTTTGTCAGCTAGTTGTCAAATTAGCTAAATTATTTTTTTATCAGTGTTCTATATACCTAAGAACATATTATATCTTGACATATTTATATCTAATTATTGAATAAATAAAATGCGTTTTTACGCACTAAAAAATGCAAAAATATAGAACAAAATAAATATAGAAGTTATAAAGCAATCACTCATAACTATTTATCACGCAAAATTGTATAAAAAAGTTGACCCGCTTTTTTAACATTTGTATGTAATTAGGAATATATTATCTTTCCAATATAATAAAATTATAACTAGACTATTTTTTTTTTTTTTTTACAACACAGGGGGCAAACGAGCACTCTATTTATATACATAATCTAAGGATTCCGCGTTCTAAATTCAAATATTTTCAATGGAAGGTATCTACGAAGTTTAGTTTCTACTATTGAGAATAAGAATATAAAATATGTATCTAATATATGTACTTATAAATATATTATCTTTCCAATATAATAAAATTATAACTGGACTATGTCTGTACATAAAAGATATTTAAAAAAAATATGTAAGGAGTATTAATAAAAGCAATAGAAGCCGAAAAAAATATAGAAATTTTGTCTATCTGTCTGTCCGTTTGTCTATCTATATGTTTATTTGTTCAGGCATCCCGCAAAAATTACTACACCAAATTGAATGCGATTTTCAGTGTTACGATTATAAAAGTTTATCTTATTTCCTGTATTCCATGTCTAACTTGTATTTGTTTTATTTTGATATACCTACAATCTATAATTGGTCGGTTTCACTCGTTTTCTTACATCTAAAATCCGCACGTACCAAGTAGCGAGTCAATTGTAAGCTAACGCCTACATGAGACATGACAGAACAGTAACTTTCGACATCTTATTCATTATCATCTGTGTGCTATTAAAAATATATTTCCTTCTATATTCGTTTGCCTTTTTGTTTAAAAGAGCGGAGATTTCACAAATAGAGTATATATATTTTACTGAACTTGATGTTATCTTGCGGAAGTTCATGTAACTGGTTATTTTATTAGAATTGTTTTGGTTAATTCCGCTATCATAAGTATATATAATATGTATGTGACTGTCAACAATATCTTAACGATAATATACTTCAGTATGTTATATATTTGAGTAATAATCTAAATGTCTTAGAAGTCTAATGCAGGGTTTAAAAGGTAAACCTTTTTAATATTGATAATGTCTATATATTGTCTTAACTGTCAAATTTTATACATAATTAAGATATTTTATTAAAGTTCCTAAATAAAAATGTATAAATAAAGAAAAATATTTAAGAAATGATTTGCTTTTATCCTAATATGATAACCATATCAGCATTTCAGTTATCTATTTTTGAAATTAAGTCTTCATATCATTTGTATATATATGTGTTGTTATCCTATTACATATATTGAGGTAATAAAATTATATAATACCATATTATGCTGTGATAAGTTGTAAAGGTAGGCAATTTTACTTCAAAAGAAACGCCACTACAATACTCGCATTCCTGTTGCATACCTACACTTCGAGATCATCGCTCCATTTAATGGAGGGTCGCTATATACTGTGACTTTCTGAACACGTTCATCATTCAAACATCTTCTAAGAATTAAAAACCTTTTTCCATAAGAGTTGATTTCGGAGAAGCCGGAACCGAACGTTAGTTCTAGTAGTAAAATATATAAGCGATAAATTATTAAGAATATTATTGCACGATTTTAGTTCAAAATCAGATCACTTCTTTTATAATAATTATGAAAGAAAGAATAATAAAAGGTCAGTCAAGTGCGAGTCGGACGCGCGCAACGAGAGTTCCGTATAAAATCATCAAGTTTCTTTTTTTGCGAAATAACTATAATTTGACAGTTTTCAGATTTTTGCCTATACTTGTGCTACATGACATTGCTTCTTGCCAAATTTCATGGTTCTAGGTCAACGGGAAGCACCCTATGGATTTGAATTCTCTTCGCGAATGTCAAAATATACGATATAAATGTAAAAAAAAAAAACATTTAGAAGCTTGATTTTTTTCACTGCTTTAAGAGATTGCAGACCTGAGTATATGATATTAATTTCAACTCAAAACCTCCATGCGTTTCTAAGAAAAAGGGTCTTAACAGACGGATGGATGGATAGGTGGACAATGAAGTGATCCTATCATACAAAATCCTTTAGTTACGGTTAAAATATCATTGCTATTTGTAGTTGTTGTCAGTTTAAACACTTCTCAGTTGTGCTACAGTTTATTAATTGCATTCTAAAATTTAAATAAATAATAATGTTAATAATGATTAGATTTTGATGATATTAGAAAAGTTACATAAATTTTTATTTTTATATTTTTTTTTTTTTTTTTTTTTTTTTTGTCTTTATTTTCTATATTGTATACATTATATAAATTATTTCATTCTTAAGTTTATCCAGTATTAAAAGGAAATCAAACAACAAATGTTTGGATGCACATCAAACCAGAACAACTGAATTCGAAGACATTTAGAAAAGTTTGTTTTTTGAATAATTTCATTTAATTTCATTTGAATTGACACTATTAATAAAATCAAACTCGAGATCTCATTTACCCAAAGCAACGTGACTATCCTTATTCTTATATAAAGTCTTCGAAATATACCTCTTTATGTTTATTGTATGTTGTCGCATCTTTATGATGACATAGAAACATAAACTGCCCCTTAAATCTCTGTTGCGTGCATGCCTAACACATTAGCGGCTGACTTCAAACTAATCAAGAACACAGCGCCGTCCGCGTTACGCGTGTACGATGTACGTAATTTATTAGCGTTTATTCCCATATAGCAATCTGTAGGGATGCCGTCCTATTACGCAGACTCCGTCGAGATCCCTGCTCCAGTCAGCTTCGAGAGTGGGGACGCGGTAGTCGCTCCTGCTACGTGTTCAACGGGCAACTATATCGAACTCGGCTTCAACTGCATTCCACGATCTATGTGTTTGTAAAAGTTCATAACTTTAAGACACGCCTTTGGATAGACAGGATTTTAAGTGTTCAAGAATTATGGAGATTGAATTTAATTGAGTTTACAGGATCATAGCGGTGAGTGTAATATGAGTAATAATTGTACATAAAATAATATTAGATAAATATTTATTGGATGTAAAATTTATTTAAAAAATAATGTCTATTTAAATAGAAATAGTCTTTGTTCGAGTCGTACCTGTCGTGGACGGTAATGAATCCTTCACAGTAAATTCAGTTCACCTGACTCGGAAACTTTTACTTCGGTAAACTTTCCGATATTGGATAGACTTTTCCAATTGATTAGGATTTTGCCTACACAAAGAGTAAACAAGAAAGTTTTATTCTTAGCTCTATATGAAAAATAAATAGATTTTTTTTTCCAAAGGTTGGCATAAAACATGTATCAGTCCCATATATAACTTTTGAAATAAAATACTATAAATACTACTGTCGACCATACACTACTTCCTACATCACTGTGTTGGGTTGACTAAAATTATATTTTTGTCACAATGTGTCTATTATAATTACTATAATTAATCATTATATTTACTACTTCTTAATTTTCTATCTTCTACTTAAGTTCTAAAATTCTAAATTATAAATAATACTATATTATTATAAATGGGTGGTAGGTGTAATAGGTATTATCTACATATTTAAAAAAAAGTATAAAAATATTTATATTAGTATTCAAACTCTGTTTAGTTTAAGGCTACATAGCACTGTATTATAAGTCCTGTAATATAAAAGAAAACATTAATTAATTTAATGACATGATAGATTTTTAAAGAGTATACTAGAATGAAAAATAGAAGGCAAAATAGGAAACGAAACACCGAGAAATAACTATATGCGACAGATAACGGAAATACTAGATATCATGTCGTATAGTCAAAGATATATCCTGAAATAGAGCAGGCTGGAAAAGAATACATAAATTAATTACTCCGATAAGAAAATAATAATAATATTTTTTATATTTTATTATCAATAAATAGAAGGAAAATATCAACTGTCATCGTATTAATTCGATCCTCTCCGGTTTCGCACGGGTAGATAGAAAGATAAATTAATATTTTATATTAGCTTTAATAAGCAACTTTTGATACTTTGGATTATGTTATTATAAATTTCATAAAGATCTCAATTTTTTAAATAGTATATAATAGTATTTACTTGTAGATAATATATTTTTTTAAAATCGGTTTTTATTTCATCTGTTAGATACAAACAAACATATTTTTCCTTTTTATGATATTAGTATGAATAATAAAAAATGCATCTCTTGTTATGTATACACATAGCCTATTAAAAAACTTTCTATCAATTTTTAATAAAAAAAAATCTGTGACAACTTTTAAAACAACTATCATTTTGCAAATATGTACAAAGATATATAAAATATATATAAAGATATTAAATCTTTGGCAAAGAAACGTATCTTTTTTTATGCAACTTAGAATGGCAAACAAGCTGATAGCCCACCTGATGGTAAGTGGTAACCGTCGCCTTCAAACATGATTAGTACCATGGGTATAACAGAGTATACTGTTTCGTTCATGATAGCCCCATGCGTTGCCATTCTTGAGGACTCAGATGTTATTCCTCTATACGCTATATCCCACCCTTTAAACCAAAACACAGCTATGTTACAAACACACACAACTGCTTTACGGTAACACGAATGAGACAGAGATACCCAAGTAAACGACTTTTGTACAAAATCTATATATGACTATAACAAAAAAAGCACATATTTACCATTGATATACAAAAAACCAAAGACTCACAATTCTTTACATAAATTACATATTAAAATTATTCCGAATTTTAATTTGAATAATTTAAGATTTTGTTCTATAAAAAAATATTTTGATTTAAAAACTGAAACTGATACTGAACCGATTTTGATAAAATTTTTATGTAACCAATCTATCTGAAACTATATCTTTTCAAATAAAAAAAGAAGTTTTCATACCGAAACAAATGACGGAATTATAAGGCAAAAAACAAAAAAATACACTCTCTTTTTTCCTCTTCCTCTTTTTTGAATTCGGTTGAAAAAATTGAACAATGCACGAAATGAAAACTTACCGTATGAGAAACTATATATTTAGATGTAATACTTTACTATAATTCAACTACAAACGTCACTGAATGACTAAAACAAGTAAATAAATTATAAATGGGACAGTAGCACATTGTTGAGCCTTGTTTCATTTCGTACAGGTAATAAAAGAATACAAAAATTATTTTATATACCGATTTGTAATAATAATGTATCGTATAACAATCCAATTATCCGCATGTGCAGAAAATATAACAATGTATGAAAGGACCTTGATATCTTCCAACAATCCTTGCAATGTTACATTAAGGCTGCCAATTTGTTACTTTAAATTTATAGCCGTCATTCTTTTAATGTATATAATATCGAATGTTATGCAGAGTAGTTATTGGAGTGCAAATTTAATGCCGTTTTATGTAATATTTATTTTATAAATGTATTAATTTGTAATCTGTTGCCTTGCTATAAATAAATAAATACATAAATAACAAAATTTGGTTAACTGTGATCTTTTTTTAGTATTATTTTTAGTCTTTGAATGTGTATCTAAGTTCTAAATATTATACAATACATCAATGGTTTACAAGCATGTCTATATATACCTTAGATAGCTTTTTTAAACATTTGAATCGTTATTTGTTAAGATATATATGTATGTATATGGAAAAAGCTATTTATGCAAGTACTTTGAAGATTATGTCGGTCGTATCGTACAAGTCACCACAATGGAATTTAATTTTATGTTTATAAATATAAATGTAATGAAATCCTATTATCTCGTTGATTTAATTTTCAATGTGAATCTTTGTTGAAATTAAATCTTTGAATAACCTATTTTTTTTAAGAGTCATGCAATATAACTTACTTCATTCAAGCTTGGTGTTCAATATTCTTTTTTATATATAGCACAAAAAATTACCTTCATCCAATAATCTCCTAAGTACACACTGATATAAAGTCATTGCCATCAGACCTTTGAAAGTAATATTAGTAGAAAAACTTTCAGAAAACACTTTGTAATATGTATATACAATCATCTTGATCATCTTAAATTTCTATATAGATGAATATAAATAATGCAATAAATATTTTTTTTACGCGCTGAATACAGCGCATGTTTTTTAATTGCTCACTTTAATGTATATTAGTAGAATCATATGGCTCGAATCAAGATTTTGAACTATCCTAATACTGCATCAATACTTATTAACATCCTACATATGGGCTCAAATCATTCTAAAAGAGAAAATTTTTAACTATTTCAACGTCTGCCAGTCAGCTTACATAGGGTTTGCTATTTAGTTTTCCTTCTTTTGCACTGGATAATTGCGTTCCGTTCCCGTAGTAGTTTCTTGCTTTATCATTAGGAATAAAAGAAGGTATATTATATACTTCATGTGCTATTTTACACGAACGAAGCTATGGGATACAACTAGTTTATAATAATAATAGGGTAAATACGATTCAAGCGCATTTCATATGCCTTAATCAAAGATTCAACAATTCAACAATTCAACCTTCAGATCTGTCGTATCATACAATATGTCGTAGATCTGAATCGAGAGTGTAATATGAACTACACAAGAAGGTTGTAAATCGTATGACCGCTGTAGGTTTATAGTTCAAATGACGAGCTTTGACACGCGACACTCGTCAGCGCTTGTATCTCGGCAGTGACAGATAAGCGCCATTTGTTACTACTAAAGTGGGATAACCTATAGTTATTTATCTAAGAGGATAACAGTACAATAGTGTAATCTATTTTGTAGATAAATTGTTATAAGTAACTACGTAGGTAATTATTATAAGTCACAGACAGTAATATTAATAAAATATCCTGTGTTACAGTGTATCTATTCCGTCCTTACTAATGTGCTGTTCATGTTTATATTATATATGCCCGTTACTTTATACCAGATTAGCCATTAGCTTGACTATCATAATAAAACCATATATTGAGAATTGTAGGTAATATATCCGTACGAAACCATTGTATTTGATAATATGAACACGTTACGTAAAAACTATTAGATGGATTATAATTAAATTTGAGACGATAAAAATTTAATACCTATTTCCAGATAGAGGGTACTTTCACTGCTTTTAAAATATCATATTCTAATAGACGAATACAAAAAACCATGAACGACGTCTCAAGTGATAGTTTCACTTGAGACGAATATAGTTAGATCCATCATATTTTGTTTCTAAATCTAGTATCATTTTAAAAATTGTGGCTACTGAATTTTGGAAATATTACGGATTGATTAAATGTTATTCCTGTCTACGGTTGACTGGTAGATAAAGCCATTATGATATTATTTTCGCAATGTATTAAAGTTTAATAAATAAATAAATAAAAGTAAAAATATCTAGCGAACACAAATAAATAAAAAAAAGCTGTGATACTATATTTGTTTATGATACGATTACGATCACTGCATGGTGATAAAGTTTTGTGTAACTTACTTGGGCAGATACTACCGTTGCACTAGTAACACCACGCTAGTGTCGGACTATGCAGGCACATAAATATATACGCTAAACTAAAATTTACTAGAGGATTCCAAGCTGTTTATATTCGTTGGTGCTATTAGGCACTAGCCACACTAAGAGATAAGCTTAGCGAATACAATTTCGTTTATCTTATCTCACATAGCTTAGCATACATACGGTTGGATTTACGCTAATGTTATGCGACCTACGCAAAAATATGCAAACTAAATTATAAAGATCTACAATAAAAAATAAATGAAATATATAATAACTTCCTATTCTCACAAAACGTAATTTATGCAAAAGAAAAACGATATAGGTACCTACATTATTCTTTGCAAGGGAGAATACATTTTGGTTGCCTAGTTGGTATTATCAGCTTACGTAGCTCACTTACTTCAAATAGTTCGCTTATCTTAGCTCATTATATATTTTCACTGTGAATTGAAGTTTGAAAGATATTGCAAAAACATGTGCTAAGCTGAATAAAGTTGTCTTTGCTCAACTT